AAAAAAAAAAAAAAAAGAAGAAAAGAAAAGAAAAAAAAGGCTAAAGGAGTTTATTACCCCCAAACCAGCATTGCAGGAAATGTTAAAGGGACTGCTGTAATTAGAAGTAGAACACTTGGTAAAGGTCCCCTGTGAGGCCGTCTGGACCAGGGCTTTTGTTTGCTGGGAGTTTGCTTTGATTTTATCGGTTGTTATTGGCCTATTCAGGTTTTCTCCCTGATTCAGTTTTACATGATCTCACTCACATGTGGAATCTAATGAACAAAATAAACTGATGAACAAAACATATCCAGAGACATAGAAGCATGGAGCAGACTGATGAATCTCAGAGAGAAGACGGGGGTGGGGGAGTGGGTGGGGAGAGATTAATCAAAGAACTTATATGCACATATGCATAACCCATGGACACAGACTAGTGTGGTGAAGACCTAAGGATGGAGGGATGCAGGGTGGAGGGGATCAATGGGGGGAAAAGGGGAGATCTGTAATACTTTCAACAATAAAGATAAAAAAAATTTTAAAAGATATGCCAAAGGGTTTACAGATTCTTTGACAATCTGTTTGCTAGTTCACGATTAATGAAAACTGCACTGCTTGCATCTTTAATGTGAGGTTTCTTGAGTCACCAGGTATCAACAAATCCAATATAACTTAAAACCAGTACTATTACAATATGTCTCAGCAAAAACAGGTGCTCGGCTCCTAAAAAACTGGATTCATGTAAGGGAGTAAACTATGAACTAAAATCTGATGTGGGTACACGAATTTTACCCATTTAAAGCTTAATGGGCCTTTGCCTACAGCTTAGAAAAATAATAAACACCTGTCCAAATTAACCTTTAAATCCTGGCAGTCCCTGAAGCCGCCTCATCCTCTCTCAAATGAGGCAACGTTGCATTTCCCCAGTTAAATCCTTTAGGGTCCTTCTATGCAGGTTAGGATGGGTCTTAGGATTGAAATGCCGCCCCCCGTCCTAGGTGAGATTTGGGGTCACAGCCACGTCCATTCTGCAGACTTCCGCCCTCGCCACGACATACTAGGGGCACACTTACCTTTTCAAAGCACCCTAGATTTCAGGGACACACTGGCGGAAACCAGCCTCAAGGTAGGTTCCTTACGGAGAAGAGCGAGAGTAAGAGAGCACGGCGACCTCCTACCTGCCTAACACACC